CGCGGGAGAGGGGGAAGGGGAGGAGCCCCCTCTCCCCATGCTGCTCGTGCAGGTGACGCAGCTGCTCTGTGGCGGGTTCGTGCACATAGCCTATCAGCGTCGGCGTTTCCTCACCGCGAGTTCGATTCCATCCCGCCACTGCCACCGTCGCCGCCGCCGATGTCGCCACGATCAAGGATGGCCTCCCACTGCACCTCCACGACACGACGATGATGTTCGAGGCGCTCACGGCCTTCCTTTGGCGAGTCTACGCAGTGGTGCTGGAGCTCCAGGAAGGCCTTCCTCTAGAGATCTCGTACGGGAGCACTGGAGCTGCAGGACAGCCTTCCTCTGGCGAGCCCCCAATGACGCGCCACTCCTCTCCTCTCCCCCGCCGCTACGTCGCGCACCGCTCTTCTCCCCTCCGCCGCGCCGCGCGCCGTTCCTCTCCGCCACCGAGCTCACCATCACGCTGGCCATCTCTCTCCACCTCTCCCTCTGTCGCCACCCCTGCTCCGCAGCCAACCGCCTCACGCCGAGTCTGCCGCCGCGTCTGCTCGAGAGAAGGAGAGAAGAGAAGAGAAAAAGAACAGAAAGGGTGGCGGCCTATACCATTTTCTCTCACTTACATATGGGCCCCACATATTTATTTATTTTTTTATGACTAGGCCACGTCAACGAAATCTGGTATCTATACTGCCTTGGGGCATTTTTTGAATGGTTATACGTAGTTCAGGGGTACACATTTCCGGTATTGCGATTAGTGGACCTCAGACAGACTCGGCGTAAAATTGAGGGACGTCAGGTGAACTTATTCCATGCGAGTATAGATGGCCATAAGGCCCGAGGAACGATGGCCTGGCCCAAACACGGCACGACATGACTGGTTTCGGGCCCAGCCCAGCACGACATGGTCTAAAAAAATAGTTGAGGGATAAAAAATAAACTTAATTCATCCTTATAACTTACTAAAAGGCACTATCCAAAGAGAAGAGGGATAAAAAATAGAGTTATTCCAGCCACATAAGACACAACCCAAAGGTATGAGGGAATTCTGTAGAGAAGTACGATGGGCTATCGTGCCTTCGGGCCGTGTTGGGTCGTGGGTGTAGCTCGTGGGCAGACATGGCACCATACCGGCCCGACTGACCTCAGCCTAGGCCCAGTCGTGCTTGGGCCGTGCTGGGTCAGGCGGCCCATTTGGGTATCTATATCTGCGAGTGTGGGTGTGCCTGGCTAATGAGGCCTATTGTCAGGTTGGTGGGAATGTGGGATAGACAGTCTGTTGTTTAAAGATATTTTATTCTGATTCTTCAGCGGCCGAATAACAATTCCATTATCGCACTTCAAAACACACTGCCATTATATAATATGTTTCTTAAAAAAAAGTCTGGTACCATCGATCGAGTAGCTCATGAATCCTGGAACGAATAAAAGTTATTATTTAGTTCCTGTGCATTGCATTGTGTATGTTTGGAATTAGGAGAATCCATTTTACAAACTCAATAGTTAAATATTAACATCTAGAAAAAAACAATCCTGTGGAATTCAGTAGTAAATTGTGAAAACTCAAAACAGATCATTTTCAATCTTGGGCCACACACAAAGTGGTATCTAATGTGGCACTGACATGCAGGGATGAAAACAAAACTGATACGGATGCATCATACTTGTGCTATATTCATTTCATATTTTTAGCTTGATACGAAACCAAATACGAATTATCTCGAATACAAATAAGGATTTTGTTTTAACAAGAAAACCACCTAACTTATGATAGAAACATATATCATCACACATAATTAGCTAGTTTCATATAAAAAGTTTCATTAAAGTGTAAATAGTGTCCATTAAGTTTAACGCATATAACATTACCGATATATATATGGAAGCATAACTGATATTATAACATATAAATCTAGTTTTTTAAAATATTTACATGTTTAAATAATATTAATAATGTGAACTAGTGCTAGTAGTGTGGGCTAGTATTAAAGTTTAAAGGTGTAGTTTGAAGGTCTAGAATTAGTAAGAAATAGGGTATGCTTTATTCCTTTGGTAGATATTTCAATAACATTGTTCACCAGATATTAGTATTATTATCCATATCCGTCAGAAGCTTCGACTTCATATTTGTATACATATCCAGGAAAAACTATTAGTATTTGTATTTGTATCCGTATTGAATTGTATCTGTATTTATCTACTCTGTTTTATCGCTAGTGATATGGCAATGTGGCTCAAATTACCTAATGCAATCTTGAAATTCTTAATTATGTAAGTGTTTTCAAATATTTTTGGGAGAATCCACCTTATCTCTTATCTATAATTAACAAGTGATTATTTTTATGAATAAAGCCGAATAGACAAGAAAGTAGCGTACAAAACTAAGTACTCTCTCCGTCCCAGAATATAAGGAGTTTTGGTTGGATGGAACACATCCTAATCACTTATATAAGGAGTTTTAGTTAGATGGAACACAACCAAAACTCCTTATATTTTTGGAACGGAGGAAGTATGTGTTTGGTGGGAAGGATTAAAACCCTTCACACCTGGTACGCTAAACCAAACGGTTGATTAACAAGTGATTAATTAAGCATCAGTTAATAAACTTGAAAACTAAATTAATATATTTTTTTAAATAACTTTCTTATAGAAAACGTTTGTAAATAAAAAAAACTAATCGTTTCGCACTTCGGAAGCGTGCGTGAAAAATGAGGAGGAAGAAGTTGGAAAAGTGGTGGGGGGAAGTAAGAACACCCCGCCCCCATTTTACCAACCCACCTGTCTCGTTTTCCGCGCGCACGCTTTTCAAACTGCTAAATGGTGGGATTTATGCAAAAACTTTCTATATGAAAGTTGTCTTAAAAAAATCATATTAATCCATATTTTAAAAAATTAGTTAATACTTAATTGATCTTGCAATAATACGAGCTTCGTTTTGTGTGCCCGGAAAACCCCTCCTCCCGAACACAGCCTAAATAAACTAATCTTTCATCAGACAACTATTTTTTATTCAACCATGGAAAAGCCTACTCTATGTACACATGTTCTAAATATCGCTTTTTACAGCCTACACTAATGGACGTACACATCAACGAATTTTCGCTATCATGAAAAGAAATATTGGAGAAGGGGAACATTTGTTTCGAAACCAAACAGAAGGCTGCAGGGGCAGATCAAAGAGGCAAACGCCATTGGATATATACATATATGCCTTTTGTGTTATCGTCAACATTGATAACTGTTACAGTGTTGTGTCTGCCCTCTTGTACCTGTGGACCACATATATTCCAGGCCAGCAGTTAGTTGTATGCACCATCAGATAATTAAATTTCTCAGCAAGATGGTATTTATTTTGAGTACGAATAACCTCAAGTAATCCTTTCCGAACAGAGGACGTACGATCGGTGTACTCATGAAGAAATTGACACTGGCAGACCTAATTAATATGGGTTTGTAAAAGCATGAGGATATTGCAATATATACATAACAGGTGAGGAGTGCAGGTACGTGGCACTGGTTTACTAATGTGATTATTAAATGAAGTGGAACAAAGGGGTATACAAATTTATCATCGTTTTGAATAGTTATTGTAAACTTGTCAAATTACCGTAAAAATTTGACAATTGTTTACGGCAATTTGATAAGTTTACCATCAAAAGGCATATCATTTCGCAAAGGCTTGAGAAGGAATATACTAAGGTTGTGTTCGCTGGGAGGATGGGAACAAAACTCCTACGCACGGAAAACGGAGTGATTCATTAGCAAGTGATTAGTTAAGTATTTGTCATTTTTTTTCAAAAATAGATTAATATGATTTTCTAAGCAACTTTCGTATATAAACTTTTTATAAAAAACGTACCGTTTAGAAAAACGTACGCGCTGAAAAGGAGGGAGAGGGGTTGGGAGCTGGGTGGAAGGATTGCAGCCTAAGAATATATCGAACCCCCTAATTTTTGAAAATTTGCTGATGAACAATTCGTGTTCGACTTGAACATCTCTTATATCTCCGTTGAACTCTTGATGATGCACATGTACTCTCAGTGAGGCATTGCAACTTTGCAAGCTATCCTTTCTCTTTCAATTTCTTCTTATCGTTAGTGAAAAGCGGTGGCCGAGCCAGCCAGAGCCCACCCCTAGGTAGGGGTGCAAGTGGGTCATCCGTAAACCCACTTATAGTTCAAAATAAACGAGTTAGTGAGTTAGTTTAATCTATAAGTGGGTTTTTGTGGGTAGCCGCTTGCACCCTTACCCCTAGGGCTTATTCCCATTACCTGGTTCTATTCATATACAAATGCATATAAATTTTATAAATTTACATGAAATTTACATGGGGTATAGAACCCAGACCTAGGACTTAAGCCCTAGCTGCCCTACAACTGGATCCACCTCTTCTTTCTGATAATTTTTTTTCTTATTCGGTCCTTTAGTTGATCTCAATCACAACATGGGTCCTTGCCCAGAGTTCATCGCTTCATCGTGTCAGCCGAAAATCAGGAGAGGATGCCTTCCAACAGAATTTGTGTGGTTTCTTCTCCCTTTTATTCAAACGGGAACAAGTTGTGGCCATCGTCCGCAATCCCATGATCCTTCACAGCGTGTGCCATCCCATACGCCAGATCGTGCCGCGTGGGAGACTTGGACGAACAAACGAGACTCCATAGTGAACGAGAATGATGAGCAAGAAAATGTTGAAGAGTACAGAAAACAGAGGAAACTAAACTAAGCCAAAACACCGTAGGCAGCAAGAGTAACAACCCATCCAACTCTGCTACCTGCTGTTGGTTTCGTGTAGCCCGCCACACAGATAGGAAAATCTCGCTAATTTTATAGGGAAAAAGCTCAAATAGACTGGCATCTATTTTGTGCTATTTGTTAGTAAAATAATACCATGCATTCTTTTTTTTTTTTGATAGTGCATTAAAATGTGCCCTGTGAGATCAAGTTTCACAAACATTTCTGCCTTGAAATAGAAGGGAAGCTCAGTAAAGTGAACTTCTGATCAAATGACGAGATAGTTTTTTTCAGGGGATAAAAGGAGAGATAATTTCATTGATTCAGTAATATACAATTATACATGATGGTGTTCTGATCATCACGATAAATTATTGATAGATATATAAGAAGGATCTACATACGTTCCATGGATACTATTGTACTCAACAACAACTAGAATAATGCTATACCTTTGAAGCACAGAGAAAGTGAAGCATCCTTGGCTTCACAATCTCGGAAATCTTTATAATAACTAAGAAAAGCAACCTGTAAATTATGATCATTGCAACTAATATCGCAAGATCCACCCACTTAGAGTAGCTTAATTCCACCTGTAAGTAATTCTTTAGGATGTATTCGCCACTAATCGTGAGCCCGCCACCGCCAATATCTTCAAAGACCAAGCCCAACAGCTCATTCTTGTACAGTCCCTGCGTTGCATACTTGTGGTAGGAGATGAAGTATGTTGGGTATTTCCAAACTGGTTTTGGCAGATCACTTGGGAGTCTGAAGAAACCAGCGTTGAGCATCAGTACACCTTGTACACCAGAGCCAGTGATTATCCCTAGCAGAAAATCTGGCACAACTGCTGCAACAATCATCATCAATCCTTCTACCAGCATTGTGCAGGCCCACAAAACTGCAGCAAAGTAGATGAAGTGGTCTATTCCTCTTTGAAGCCCTGTCAGGTAATAGGCTATTGCCCCTGGAATTATGGAGATGAGGCCTAGGTATGGAATTGAGGAGAGTGTGTTGGATATCACAAATTCTGTTGCACCATAATGCCCACTCATCCGTTCTTTTCGAAATATCTGAACCATGAAAATCACACATCAATGGAAGCTCCTGCACGTGCAGACTTAATTTCGAAATTTACCTTCATATCTTCAACAAAAGATGGAAAACCTCCAATTGCCATCATTGTTAATAGGGTTGATGTAAACATTAGCATGGAAGCTCTTGCCTGAAATGAAGAAGCCCATATATGTCACATACTCCAACTTTCTGCAACTTTACCTCATATATATTGAGATCACTTACTTGGATTGATGCAAAATTTGAGCCAACATTAAAAAAAATTGTACCAATGCTTAAGCAAATGGCAATGTAGATAACAAATCGCAACCAATAGTAGCCTGCATCTCTGTGCATGTTAACAATTGATCTTTTGGTTAGCACATATGTTTTGGTCAAGAATGTTGCCTGCCTTTGAGGAATTGGAGAGGCACCCTGCACAAATAATTGTTTGAAAATAATTAAAATTCAGAACAATAACTTACTTTTAAAAAAATATCCCTTTTTTCATGACTTGTACTCTTTTGAGAAAAAACACCTGATTAATCATTGCACATGCTTCCTTTTCTGTCCTTAAGGTACCACAAGATTTGAAAGAACCCATTAGTTTTTGGATCACTTCGGCAGCACGTGGAGAAATAATGGTAGATCCTTCTTCAGATTCCTATTCATACATCACCACTCCAAGTGGGGCATAGTTAGTGTCAAGAAACATACTAATGATATAGCATATATATTAATGCTGTATAACAATTTTATTGATAGAGAAAGCTTCTATATTCATTTTATACCTCAAAGTCTTTGTTAATCATTCTCAGGAAGTGATCAGAAGGATTCCTCCTCAAGGGACATGGGAAGCCATTAGATTCGAAGAACTAAAAACACACAAAGAAAGGTCAAATCGTGAGCAGTGGACCTATTTAAGCATGCAGTGAGTGATCTACAGAAAATATTTACAAGGTGCCTTCAGTAATTATTGATTAGGATTTTCTTCCATTTTGATCTATAACTCCATATATAAAAAATTGAACTACCATTTGTGTTTGACTCACACCAAATTGAACATTTTAAAAAAATGGTAATATATATCCAAATTTTGGCCAATCAAAGTTTCTTCTTGAACTCCAACTTTCACCTCAAATTAATTAATCTCTGTCTGTTTTTCACACTCAACTTGATTTGGAAAGAACATAAATAATGTCTTGAACCGTATTTAATTTTAAGTCTATTATCTGATCTGCAAGATTGCTAATTAATTGGAGAACTTTTCAGTACTCAACAATATGGAGGGCTATCCACTATAAACTAGAAATAGAGTCTTAGTACTGGATTAAGTGCACCCGCATTTTATTTAGCTATGTAACGTGCCTATTTGTTTTTCGTTCGGTCATATGCAAATATTAGAAGATCACTTCATGGTCAAAACATGAAACTTTTACCACACTGCATCTGTTTTATTTTTAAGAACGGAACTGAATACAGCATCCGTTCTTTAGCATGTCAACCAAAGATAAATTAAGGTATCCATTCTTATCTGACATTTCCACTGCCCGCCATTTACGAACGTGTTTCGAAACTACACAACCACGACCCTATAATGGGGTGGCTAATAGCGTACACAGATTTACGCTGTGATAATAGTTATCCTAGCTACCATATACTTGGTTGTCATAATTAATATGCTATCAGCGTTAGGAAAATGACATGGTAAGGTAGTAGATGTGGTGTCTATCACTCTGCCATTTTTATTCCGTTGCAAAGAAATAATATGGTGCACTCAGCCCATGGAATAAATTCCTATCTACCAACAGTACGTATAACAACCTTACATAAAGATTCTCTCTCTACGGCCTCAGATTAATTTGACCAAGTTTCGCAACGATCTACTAGCCAGTTACGTACTGTCGTTTTAATGTTTCGGCATCCTCATAATACACATCAATGTTGATGGTGATGTGTGCTGAAAAATCAAAATGTACGTACTACGCTCTTCTGACCTTAATTTGTGCACCACTACGTACGGATGTTTGGGAGAGGTACTAGCTTTTAAATGGCCTCCTCGACGTTGGATGAAACTTAACAGTTGACAGTTGTTAATTTGTTCATCAAATTTCAGTGAACCGTAAAGCACCACGCGATTCGATGAAAGCCAAATAAATATGGACAATGAAATACTTCCCCCTTCTCATTTATTCTTTTTGAGCGAGATTATATAGGAGTATATATTAAGATGCGACATCCTGTTCATAGGAAACAAAGATTACATGATAAAAATTATTTATTCTAGTCCAGAAAGCCAATTTAATTAATATAAATGTTTGATTATGCAAAAGTGGACCATAGCGCAACAAATTTATTGAATGTGTCTTAATTTGTAATTTTGTCTACCTTCTTCGGATGCCAAATAGGGGTGTGCTGTTAGTATAACAATTATATAAACCATCAATTCAATTAACCCAGCTATGTATTACTAATAATTTATTGTTGGCATATCAAGATTACGAATCCAATTTTTTTAATACGAGACTAATAAAATTTGCATTTTAAGTTTTCTTCTTGAAATCAATGGCAGCTGGATGGTGCAAGCCACTCCTTTTTCACTTTTGCTCTTCCCAGCAAACAAGGTTAGTGTGCGAAGGCGCTAAATTAATCTATGTGTCACATCCAAAATTTTTCTGGCCTTTTATTGTTTATTGTAAATAGGCGACAAAATTCAATGACAATGCCATTCTTCTTTTTCTCTAAATGTGTATAAATAGGTTCAAAGCCATTCTTCTTTTTCTCTAAATGTGTATAAATAGGTTCAAATGGACTGGAACTGTTTTTTTTTTTTTTTTTTTTTTTTTTTGCAAAAAATATGATAGCAACTACTCCCTCTGTTTCAGGTTATAAAATATTTTGACTTTGGTCAAAGTTAAACTGCTTTAAGTTCGAGCAAGTTTATAGATAAATATAGTAATATTTACATTACCAAATTAGTTTTATTGAATTAATAATTAAATATATTTTTATAATAAATTTATCTTAGATCGAAAATATTACTATTGTTTTCTATAAATTTTGACCAAAGTCAAAAACATCTTATAACCTAAAACGGAGGGAGTAATATTTTTTTTATTTCAAGCTTCATTACGTGCCCCAAGAAGATAATACTAGGAATAATTCAGAATATAGGGCTGAATTGAAATATGGCTTCCAAGACTGTATAACCCATGCGCACTTAAAACCTGGTCTTCCTTTCTTGAAATTCCTCGGATTGAGCTAACTAAAACTGAAACTATATTCCGTCAAAAAAACTGAAATTATATAGAACTGATAAATTTAAGTCGGTTTTACATCGTAAAAGGAGCGGCTATATGTGTTAATAAAATTTTCAAAAAAGGTTGCATTACAGATATTTATATGTGTAACTATATATCGTATATATTGTAAAGAACTTTAACATTATATTTGTATGAGCACTTGGCAAATTAATTTTATAATATGTATGTTTGATTGCAGTGCAGACTTGTACTATCAGTTGTCAAAAAAGGTAACGATATCGATGCCTTTAAGGAGTTCTAACTCCCAACTTCCATTGAGAGTGGTAATTGGTTTATAACAAGGACTGTCCTCTTTCTTTTCGAAAAGGATTGAAGAGACATTTAATGATAAGTTATTATACCTTTCTCATTTATCGGTCGTCACAGATGGCCTGCAACTTGTTCCTTGCTTTATTTTTGTATTAGTTTAATGAATCTAGATGTGTTTTTATTTATGTATATATATAGATCATAGAGAACTTTCAACATTTGACCGAATTGAAAACTAAGATTGATAGATAAGATAAAATTAGCCAATTGACAAATAGATAGTATATCATAAAATCTAAACAGTGCGCGCTCTCGGTTTAGTCTAATCGCGCGACGCACCTCCGGCCATCTCATCTTCGGCTAACGTTATCGCTTTCTCCACTAGTACTTGGCTACAGGCAGGCTGATACGCCCACGTAGCAGGAAGCACCGAAGGAGTAGTGGAGGGAAAAAAAAGAGAAAGTCTACTACATGCATGCCTTTTTTTTAATAGCCATGTATGTCTTTTTCGTTTTTAAATAAAGTTTTCTCTCAAATTACTTATCCGATCTACAATCCGATTATACCATTGTGTTCGTTATAATTAAATCTTCACAACAAGATCTTACATGATTATATTACAATAAAAAATATTTATATTTGTAAATTACTTTTATTATATACGTAAGTTATTTTTATCATATATATAAGTTACTTTTGGATTTGACTAAATTACTTCTTAGACATATAAAAGTAAATTCAGTAAAGTCTAAAAGTAATTTACATATATTATAAAAGTAACTTAAAACAAAACAGAAGTGACTTTGTCACGACATTAGAAGTAAATTCGTTGTAGGGATAAAAATATGACTTTATCTACAAAACTTTATTTAATTAGTACAAATCAACACACGTAAGTTGAACAATTTTTAAAAGTAACTTCAATGTTAATTGAAAGTAACTTTTGCATGGTTCAGAAGTAACTCTCTATAAATATGTTTAATCACCGATTGTTTTTTTTCTTTCATTTTTGTTTTTCATGTAGCATGAGAAAAAAAGATAAAATCTTTGATGGATTGTAAATAACATTGATGAAATAACTAATGAGAATTAACCATGTATAAGATGCAATAGTTACTTCTTGATAACATAAAAGTTACTTTCTAGCATGTAATAAATTACTTTTAAATTAACAAAATGTTTGAATATACTCAATATGAATATCGTTTCGTCACATATTTTGAGTGGAGTACAGTGATGCAAATAGATCTTAAAAACAATATGTGATTTAAAAGATATAAGTTATTAAAGAGATTAAAAAAAAGATATATACTATTTCATTTTACAAGTTTAAGGGCGACACTAGATGGAGTATAAACCAACTATGACTAGCTGTGTAGTCATACCAATGAAAAAAAACATGCATTAAAGTTAATTACTTTCTTTTTGTTATAAGTTACTTCTATAATTTATGTAAATTACCTTTAGGCTTTATTGAATTTACCTTTATATGTCTAAGAAGTAATTTAGTAAAATCTAGAAGTAATTTAGATATACCATAAAAGTAATTTATAATTTTTCATCAAAATATAATCATGTGGGATCTTGTTATAAAGATTTAATTGTTACAAACACAACGGTGTAATCAGATCATAGATCGGATGAGTAGTTTAAGAGAAAATTTTATTTAAAGTATAGGTAGATAGGGTCTCTTATAGATGGACTAGCTAGCTACCACTAGCTGTGTAGTCACGTCCATAGTATATATAGATAGTCTTAAAGAGTCGCCCTAGCCTCTGCAGAGGCTAGCGTCTATAGACAGATATTACAATTTAATTTGATGCATATAAAGTACTATATATATTTCGGGAGGTATTTTTTTAGCATTCCAATACTTTTAGTGGTATATAAATTACTAAGGCATATCAATCATAAAACACTAAGAGATGGGGTTAGGGTGATGAAAATGGAATCGCCTGGTAGCAAGATTTGCTCGCTTATCCGCTTATCTCACTTCTAGTTATTTTTTCTTTCAAACTTTATATAACCATACGATAAGTGAATTAGTAAGCAGATTTTTTTTAGGGATTGACTACTTGCATCCCTAGCTCATGAGGTCCTTGATGTCGGTATTACTGTTAGTCGCACATGTCAAACTGTTACCTCGATTGCATCTGAAGCTGCTCCAAAATACACCGTCCTCCCAGTGGCCAGGAGGCAGAGGCCATGGAAGAGCTCGAACATCTCCGTGCTGGGCTGGTGCACGGCGGCGACGACCGTCATCCCGTCCCTCCTGGCGAGGCCGGCGATGCGGCTCATGACGTGGTACGACGCCGCGCTGTCGAGCCCGCTCGTCGGCTCGTCGAGGAACAGCAGCGCGGGCGACGCCAGCAGCTCGACGCAGATGCTCACCCGCTTCCGCTGCCCGCCGCTGATGCCCTTGCACACCCGGCCGCCGATCCGGACGCCGGCGACCGCGCCGAGCCCCATCTGGCGGATGGCGCGGTCGGCGCGGGCCCGCTTGTCTTCCGCCGGCATCGAGTCCGGCAGCTGCAGCTGCGCCGAGTAGTGGACGGCCTCCGTCACCGTGAGCGTCGCCATCAGCACGTTTTCTTGGGTCACGTAGGCCTTCATTAACGCATGTACGAACATGTGTCAAGTCAAGATCACACTGTTTCAAATCATTCGAGATCGCATTTTATGTGAAAACGTACGGATGTTCCAAACGAAAGTTTCTCTCGCAGGCCATTGATCAGGATGTCTCCTCTCATTTTCATGTTGGGGCTCAGCCTCCCTGTGCAAATGAGTGATGACTAATTAATCAGATGCATTATCGTGTTTATATATATGCATGGGCTGTTTAATTAATCTTCCTGTAACATATATATAGATACGTGTTAAAATGTCTAATCTACTAGGAGGGCAAGCATTAAATTAATCAACAACCCAGAAAGTAACCTGCACGTAACAGTCATCTATATGAAATGAAATGTATTTTAAGGATCTGAAGTTTCTCATCTGATATGCCAAATCTAAACACTTGGTGGTAACCTTGGCCACATTTCAAAAAGCAAAAGAGGAAGTGGTCCAAATATTTAATTAGTGTTAATGCTTACAACATTAATTCGTTGATGCTGATACTCAATTATACTAATTAAGTCTGCATACATAATCCTTTTAATTTTGTATGTGTTTTTTATTCAAAAAAATTTGTGTGTGTTTTGGTTATGTTGGGTTCAGGGAGTACAACGTACTGGTTCGATGGTTAAAACGAGAAGAAAAAGGATATGAAGTATTAAACATGTCAATTAGTAGACCTCACCCAAAAACACACTTTCTGAGAAACAATTTTAAAACTAAAACAATACTCTTTCTGAGTAGCGCTTATGTATATAAACAAATATTTCCTTTTCCCCGTTTGTAGTAACTGCAGCGTGAAAGCTTGAAAGTTTTTGCACAATACAACATCACTACTCACAAACTGGGAAAAGGAGAGGAGATAGCTGCAGCCCGGAGGCTCCATCCATCTCGTGCAGGCGCGCTGTAGCCTGCAGCCTGTGGAGTGATTGGCAAGTATGGACAGTCCCTCTTGTTCTATGCATGCCATACGTACTTCTGAAACCCGTATTTGATCAGATACCGAGCATGGCTGCATGCATGGTCTTCTCGTATGCTCACGCGGATGTTGAACATGGATTGCTGTTTCCTGCCCTTGTGTTAATATGAGAGGGAGTATGTGTAGTAGTAAAATTTTATAATTCTTTTTTGTGTAATGAAAAAATCAGAATATAGAATAAGACTAAGTTGATTGGCCACTGTTTACTGAACTTAAAGCTTATAATTAGATTGTAGCTAGACAGCTACATCGATATTGTTGGAAATATGTATATTTCCATACGTACCAACCTCAAAATGTACTTAATTACGCCAAAATAGGTACTATTATTATCTTGTCCAGACAATACTCTTAACTATATAGCTATCCATAACAGCTTAACATTGAAACGGTTCGTTGATAGCAATCCTACATGCCTCCAACAGTAATCCAATTGAATATTGTCCTCTCTCCCTTGAACAAGCATAGTACTTACAATTACTATATCTAGCCTGGACCACTTATGCATAAAAAATTTTAAGACAGAAAATGACAAAGTCTGATCATATTATTTTTACTGTATATATGCACCTAAATTAACTTCACAGCTAACTAATTAATGAACACACAATGCCGGAGAAAGGGACTTTAGTCCCGGTTTGCAACCATTTTTAGTCTCGGTTGTGCAACTAGGACGCACAATCCATCTTTAGTCTCGATTGAAATAAACGAGACTAAAGATGCATACCAAGTCAAAAAAAAAATATGGGGGATGTGGGATTCGAATTTAAGATCTCTTATCTCAACCCTCACGCGCGTTACCATGCCTCCTACTACACACATCTGACTTGGGTAGAGATGCTTTCTTTTTAAACTAACCATGGAGACATCTTTTGTCTGGGTTAATAACATTAACCGGGACTAAAAAATATCTTTAGTCCGGGTTGGTATCATCAACTGAGACTAAAGATCAATTTTTAGTATGGGTTGATGTTATCAACTAGGACTAAAGATCTTTCATTGGAGCAAAGATCAGTTCTCCGGTAGTGACAACGAAATTAGTTAAGATGGTGAATTGATCATAGCACGATAGTTCAACCAGGCATCAGCTACAATACGATACCAAAGGTAGCCAGAAGAATGTCAAGTCTACTCAAACGCACGGCACGCGTCTTGGGCATGCGTGGCATTTTAGAAAGTAGTTTTCAGGAAAATAAAGAACGTGCATATAACCAGGTCCTCCTGATACGCGAGTGATTGTGGGATGGACGCATGCACAATCAGGAAATGGTAAAACAGAAAAAAGCCCACGCACACGATCGCTCCGCTTGCCTCCAATCTCTACGCGTCTTCCCTGCTACGTGGTTGCCGCTCCATGTGGGCCCAGCGATAAAATTACAAACTAAAATAAATCGCATAAAACATTTATATGTCAAACATTAATTTGAGTCAAAATCCATAATCTTGATCGGATATTTAAACTTTCAACATATAAACTTTAAATGTGTAAACTTTAGGTATATACACTTTTTTGTGTAAACTTTAGATATATAGATGTTAGGTATACAAATTTTAGGTGTGTATACTTTAGGTATATAAATTTTGAGTATAGAAACTTTAGGTGTATAACCTTACTAAAATAGGTAATATGGTAAAAAAAAAAGGGAGCAATGTGAGGAGGGAGCCTGATCGCCGCGCACGACCGATCGCACGGTAGCTTTTTTGCATTTAACCGTGACAACAACCTTTCAAGAATACAATATATTTGTCTCCATATATTATCTATTTCAGCAATCTGTGAGCTGCACGTACTGAAATGTTTAAAATAAATATTCTAAATTTAAAACTCATGCTACAAAGTAACGATGTCACATGCATGGCAAATTTCTCACACATATTACAGCCTCTGCTGTGTTTGTGCAGTGTATTACTCCCTTCATCCAAAAGTGTTAAGTATATTTTATTTTTTGCTTTTCGAAGTGAGATAGAGTTATATTGTTAGTCTTGTGCTAAATTAAATATATTGTTTATCGAAATAAAGTAAGCATCTTAATACCCATTAGTTACATCTTTGCGTATTATTTTTGGGTTTTTTACATGTGGATTAGTTAATTCCTCCAAAGTCTTAGGTGGTGTTTAGATTCAGGTACTTAGCTTTAGTCTTTGTATTTAGACACTAATTTAGAGTATTAAATATATACTACTTACAAAACTAATTACATAAATGAAAGCTAATTTGCGAGACAAATTTTTTAAGCCTAATTAATTCATAATTAGAGAATGTTTACTGTAACATCACATAGGCTAATCATGGATTAATTAGACTCAATAGATTCGTCACGCGAATTAGTCCAAGATTATGGATGTGTTTTATTAATAGTCTACGTTTAATATTTATAATTAGTGTCCAAACATTTAATGTGATAGTAGGGAATTAAAAGTTTTAGTCCCATCTAAACAGGGTCTTGGACGAAAAAAAAAAGTTAATCTTACACTTTTGGAAGGAGGGATTAATTAATCATCAACTGTCGATATCGTCAAGATCACTTTTGTACGACCCGATGGGGGACCTTTTGGCAGATACTATATATAACAAGTGCTATAAACCATAATGTATTGTACCCCAGTACTTGATATGGTCGTACGTGTTGTACGTAGTTTGCAGAATCAAATTTGTGTTGGTATTTTCAGAAAATTGCAAATACAACTTTCAATTTAATTAAGTGATAATTGAAATATTTTAATTTAAAACATAAAATGTTGGATTAACCACAAAGGAGACACAAATCAATTGTATTAATTAAGAAGAAAAGTCAGTGCATTAATGAGTTAAGTGTGGGCGGGTGGAAGGGGCGGTCTGCTCGACGGTTGCCTGCCAACTGCGCTAAGGTAATTATCTTAATCTTCTGCACTTAAACATGTACTAAAAACTATACATATGCAATTGTTTATATGTGTGTTTTTTTCAATTTGGCTCAAAAAGCTTGGTGCAGATGTATTTTCTAGAAATCTTGTAATTAAAATCACAGTAATTTTTGTACTGTGGACACACTGAATTTTATTTCAGGCCTTATATTTTTCCGCTCCGACCTAACACAGTACACACGCACATAAGCCAGTTTACTTTTTTTTTTTTAGCTACCAGACTTAATTTTTTTACCACCATCTCCATGGCTGATGGCTCCAGAGCAGCTCTTCTTGGTGATGATAATATGTGTGTCACATGCTTTATTTTGATGCAGGTCCAGACAGCATACAAATTTAATCCAACGGTCAGATGCATTGCTTGGTACATTTGTGCATTGTTTTTGTTTTTCTTTAATTAAATTTGTTTTTGTCCACTTGCCCATTCCAATTAATTGTCACTCCTACATGAATATAGATTATCTAGTCTATAATAATCCACGGAATATATACAAGACATAGCGCATGCACAAACATGGACACACATCCAACAGTATATCGGCCCATGCATAATACTCGGCGCATCAATTAACACAGCATGTGAAGAAAACAAGTTTACTTTTTTTTAATGAACACACAAGTTATTTAGGTTTATATATGACTGTTGAATAAAAGTTGCTTTAGAAGTAAGTTATCAGTAATTACCAGCTAAGGCGTCAAGCAGGGTAGTCTTGCCACAGCCGGAAGGCCCCATGAGAGCCAGCACCTCGCCGGGGCGCGCGTAGCCGCTGAGCCCGTCGAGTATCACGGCGCGGCGGCCGTGGCCGCCGCAGCCGGCGGCAGCTGCCGGCGCCGTCACGGACAGATCGTCCCACGTCAGGAACACCCCACGGCTACACGCCGTCGTGGCGCTCATCATCATCTCGTCCTTCCGGCGCCGTTCGACGGCGGCTTCCACGCCGTCGAGAGGCGCAATGCCGCCGACGATGTCATGGCGACCGGCGTGGGGCAGCGCCGGCGGTGGCTCCCCGCCGGAGAGACCACCACCGCGCCGCGCAGCTGATGATCCGAAGACGGAACTGAAGGTGGTGAGTAACGGCACACAGCTGCGCCACGACGATGACGATGACGATGACGACGAGGCGGCGCCGGCGCCGGCGCTCGGGGTTCCTGGCGTTCTCAGTGGCCTCGTCGGGCTCGGCGTCGGAGCCCACCTCGGCAGCGGCGACGCTGCCATGTTATCACCACCACAAAGTACCGTTCTCTTGTGGGTGTGCTCTCAGTTAATATATAGGCATATGAGCGCAGTCGTGTACTCGTGTCATAGAGATCGACCAAGTGAAAATTAAATACGTCTTTTCATATTATTAATCCTATATTACTGAAATTAATAAATTTCTCTATTTTTCAGCAAACAGGCTCTCTCAAAAAACCTTTCTTTATACGTACACTGTTTGTTTTAAAATATTCAAGATTTATTTATTAGAATATTTAATTTATTTTTATTTTTTGCGATGAATTTAATTTATTTTTTTATTACATACATAATATGCTGTAATAATCCGTTTATAGTAATCTAAATCTGCGTTCGTTTCTCTTGTTGGATGAAATTTTGGATACTCGTGGAACGCTTTTCAAACTGCTAAAGGGTAAGTTTCGTGCGAAAACTTTCTATATGAAAGTTGCTCTAAATTATCAAATTAATTAATTTTTTAAGTTTATAATAATTAAAACTCAATTAATCATACGTTATTATTACCTCGTTTTACATGTAACACTTAATCTTACCTTCAGCTTAATATTCAAACATCACCATAGCCAACTGGCTAGATCAAGACTGGATATAAAACGATGGTGCGCTGAATTTATTGCATATACGATACAGGTGTGCAGTGTGTGCTCGATGGGAACTGTATCTCGCTGGTCACCCACACGGCGCTGGCTGTCACGTACTGGTAAATTCATTCCGAAATAAAAATTATTCCCTAAAAGGAATAATAGAATTAATTAAAATTCGAAAAAAAATTAGCAAACACTAAAATACATACAAGAAAAATTCGAATGTGGTCCGGAGAATTTTTGTTAAATTCTCCTTGGTCTAAAAGGAGCCCTCAAATTTTACTTGAATTTTCAGAGCACCGAAAATATTTATTAAGCAACAACAACCTTTATCAAAGTTTATTAAAAAGAAAACTAAAAATAAATCCTCCTTCCTCCTTTGGGCCAAGTCGCCTCCCTCTCTCTCTCGGCCCGCGGCCAAAGTCCTTCCCTCCTCCCTCTCTTTTTCCTTCCCCCTCTCTCTCTTGGGCCGCCCTCCCTCCTTCCCCTCGGCCCAGCTCCCTCCCCTCCCCTCTCTCTCCCGGGCCTCCTCTCCCTCCTCTCCTCCTGGGCCGGCCGCCCGGCCCAAGCCGCGCCCCCCAGGCCGAGCCGAGCCAGCCGCGTGCACGCGCGCTGACTGCACGCGCTGACCGCGTGGGGCCCACGCGCCGGTCGTCTTCCTCCTCCCGCACGGCCTCCTCCCTCTCCCGTGAACCCTAGCTCCTTTCCTCCCTTAAATCCGTGCGATTTAATCATGGGATTCCAAAATTAAATAGGGGGAATTAGTCCCCATTGATTCCTCTTTGATTTCCCCCGTTTTCCCCCTGGAATGGCGCCCCCAATCGCCCGGAACGGCCGCGCCATTCCCGGCCGCCTTCCATGGCCGCCGGCCGTGTTTCCCGTCGCCGTTCCGCCCTCTCCCATGCCCGGCTCCCTCTCCTCCCCTATAAAATGGAATCCTCATCCTCCGTTCTATCGTTTTAGCCTCATCCCGAGCCTCCCCGTGGTCGTATAACCCCTCCCCGCCGTCGCCCTTCTCTTTCCCCCACGCCGGCCGCCTCCAGCCACCTCTCCCTCCTCGCCCGAGCGCCGTCCGGTCGCGCCGTCGCCACCAGCGGCCTCGCAGCCGCCTTCTCTCCCCCGGTCAGCCCTCCGTTTCGCGGGGAAACCACCGGAGACGCGTCCTCACCGACAAAATAGTGGCGTTGCCGCCACTGTACCGCCTTCAGTAGCCCCAGTCGCCGCGCCAGAGCGTCGGCCGACGTCGCCGTCTCCTTCGTCGACGTCGCGGATTCGCCCTCCACCCCGGCCTGCCCTCGGATTCGCCGGAACACCGCCGCCGCCGCGCCGACCTCTCCTTCCTCCTCATCGACGTCTCCTCCGGCAGTCCCTTCCGCCGTGCCCGTGCGCCGTCCAACGTCGCCATCTCCTCCTTCGGCATCGCAGCGGCAAGGTCGTCCTCGGCCTCGCCTCCCCTTCGACCGAACCCCGCCGGTGTTCGTCGTCGTCGTCATCGTTCCTCCTCGCCGGCTCGTCGTCTCGCTGCGCCACCACCCTCGTCGTCATCGCAGCGGCGCATTCCACGCCGTCCTCGTCTCCGTGCAGCACTGCCGGCTGCCCTTGTTGCCTCCTCGCCGGTTCCGGTCGTCGTCCTCTCGTCGTTCCCGGTCGTCGTGGCGTTCGTCCCTCCGTCAAGCCGTTCTCGTTCGTCGTCCTCACTCCCTCAAGTGCCGCAGCCCCGTCGTCGTCTTCGTCCTCGCCTCCGCGTTGCCAAGCCTTGTGCCGGCCGCGTCTCGCCTTCGTCCAAAGATCGCCGCCGAAGTCGCTCCCTCGCCGTTCGCCTCCGTCGTTCCCGGCCGCCTCCGCCGCGCCCGTTCGTCGTTGTCGTTCCCACGCCTCGTCGCATGGTGGTAAGGATCCGTCCTCTCGCTGCCCCCGTCCTCGTCCTTTCGGTGTCGCCCATGCCCGTTGTGCGGTTGTCGACCCCGGTACCCGTGTACCGGTGTCGGTAGTCGTTCGCTTGTGTGTGTGGTGACCGTGTTAGTGTGCCCGCTCGGTAGCCGCATGGTTTCCACGTGTGCAGGCCGTGTGGTGTCTAGTGGAGTCCGTTTGTCGGCCACTCGCCTCGGTTGACACACGGGATCCGCTTCCGTCGACCCGTGGACCGTCTCTGTGTACCCGGTCTGCCGTGGTCCCTTAGGTTGACATGTGGGGTCCGCATGTCAACAGCGCAGCCTTCCTGTCTTTTCCAGGCTAGCGCTTGCACATGTTTTATAGTTGTAAAACCTAATTATAATAATCCGCAAATCTCCATATAACAGCATTAAACTTCGGATGACCATGTCTTGGTCATACGAGCTCCGAACCGATCCGTTCAAGTCTCCTAATGTTTGTTATAACCTAAAGAACCGCGTGCTTTCTTTTTATGTATTGTTATTGCTTCTTTATAGGCTTGTAGCTTTGCTTGTGTGCTTCGCGTAGCTTCTGTCGTTCCGGAGGTTCCCGAAGCGTGGTTCGTGGTCGTCGCCGAAGGTTCGGAAGGCCGTTGTCTCTGAGCAAGGCAAGTCACATCATCCTTGAGCATATTGAATTCCAGTTTATAAAATTATTTTGATTTAAATTAATGCATTATCGCTTTATTTAAATTCCCCGTTATCACTATTTTATTTAGCCATGCCTATTTATCTTTGTTATGACCTTATCATTGTTGTTATTGTTATTATTACCTTGTTCACCCTAGGAAAATAAAACCCCAACTAGTGGGTACTCTATTCATGGTTCCACTAGTATGAATTTAGGTAGATGCTTCGCTGATTTATTAGGCAACATTAGGTGGTTTTATAACTTTAGACTTTGGGAATTCTCATATCATTTGGACACTATGGAATGGTTGGCTTATGTTGGAATTGGACACACACCTCCCCCTCTATTCAAAACCCCCAAAATGGTTTTAGGCTGGGCTCGAGGTGCATGGTTGGGTTTTGTTAGTCGTACCTCGGGTACTATAAGGATTAAGCTCGGGCCTCTGTTGCAAAGCACTACCGTACTTCCACATGTCTAGTGGGTAAGGCTTAGTTTGTGACTCAGTCTGGTTATAAACAAAAGTACACGGATGGAGATGGACGAAGTTGGGGGTCGATGGACATCTCTAGGACAAATGAAGGCTACACGAGCTGCGGCCCGGTAGTGGAGATGTCATGGCACAGGGCTGGTGTCCTGCTGCTAGGGGCTCAATCCTGCCTGCCTGTCCCGAAGGTTCCGGCCGTAGGTGGGGTTGGGTCGGTACTCTTGTTTATGGCTAGGATGGGTTAGGAACTATGTCACGTCTTTCATCCGTATGCCGTGGTGGTATGTGGCACGTGGTTACACATGAGGAAGATGTGTCTTGTGGGTAAAGATGTACACCTCTGATCAGAGTATAATCTATTCGAATAGCCGCGCCCTCGGTTATGGGCAAGCCTAGCAATGTACCAAGTTAGTTTTTTAATTCTTAAAACCTGCTTAACAACTAAAATGTGGAATGGTTGGCCTGGGTTGGCTTGGGACGAGCTGGGACCTAGGGTCGGGTTGCCAGTTCGGTCTGAATCATCGTAGGCCTTGGGTTAAGGCAGGTTCGTGAGGGTTCACGGCCTTGATTAATAACACTATGTAGCTCTAGGATCGTCTTTATAAAATGGCTTTGGGCAACTAAGTGTCTTTTAAATGCTGTTTACTGCAAAACCTAATCCCCTATATTATTACCCCTTGTACTCCCTCGCATTAATCATGCATCTCCCGGTGGGACTTGCTGAGTACTATGGTTGTACTCATTCTTGCTCAATCTCCCCCCCTTCAGTAAGAGAAGCTTTGAAGAAGAAGTCCTAGGTGGAGTCCTGGCTTATACCCCAGTTGAGCGCCTGTGAAGATGTAGCCGTAGGCCCGCTAGTCCGCTGCTGTTTATTTTTGATTGTCAGGCCTTAAGTGCCTTTGTAATAATGTAAATATTATCGATATAATAAAGATGTGTCTTTTATATCATGTTTGTGTGGTGTACCCCGGCTTTTCCTGGGACGGGGATTAATACACTAGCGTTCGGGAAAATGTATTTTTCTCGGTCGCGACACCGGCCGTGTGTCATCCTGCCTGTAGTACAATAATGTTGTGGGGATTTATGTATTAGTATCCGTAGCGTTTATGGTCTTGTGTGTACAGTAGGACTCTCTGATGATGTGTGTACTGTGTTTTGGCCCTCCAATCTCTTCCTTTTGTTATATAGAAAAAGATGCCCGCGAGTTGGTATGGGAAACTGATACTCATTTGGAACCGTGATATCTTATATATTATATATTACAAGAGAATCTATTCTATACTCCTGAGTTTACTCCAGTTAAACGATTTGGCGTCATTGACTTTATCTCTCTATAATAGGCCACCGACTTTGATAATTTTTTTACAATATGTCACTGGGGTGGATACTTTTTTAAAAATGCCTAAAGTGTGCTTCAAGCCATAGAGGGTTGACA